ACCCTGAGGCGTTTCCCTCCAACGGCTTTTCTCCTTGGGGAGTGGCGGGGTGGTGGTGGGGGGCAGGCGGGCAGCCACGGTGTCCCAGGTTGTTAAGAGCTCTTAGCAACCTGTGACACACTGTGTGGTTCGGCTTCCTGCCCAGCTCACTGACATCACCAGCTGCAAGTAGCTGAGCAGGGACGTTTCTGGCCTGCATCCCGCCCAGCTCCTGGCAACCAGCGACATCAGTTAGTTGGGCAAGACCTCCCCCCCTCCCCCCCCATATAGAGCCACCGACAGCACGGTGTGGCATCCCCCCCCTCCTTCAAACCTTAGGGACTGCCCTGGTTCACACAGCCCCTCTCTTTTTCCCCCTCCATATTAGGAAAAAGAGAAGTGTTGGGACAGGGGGCTGGAGGGGAGAGCAAGGAGAATTCTGGCTGGCTGTGCATTTACAGGATGTCTATATGGCGATAGTATAAACCAAGCTGAAAAAGAGCATCATTAAGAAATGCAGTATTATGCTCTTATCTTTTTTGGGATAGATTTTATGTCAGATGAACCAGTCACATCTATCCTAAGCAAAGGAGCAGGGTCTATGTAGAATAGGGTCAGCAGGCCTTGTATGTAACTTGAACATTTTAGAAAATGGGCAGTTGTGCTCTGCTTGCCATTTTAGTAAAAACTATACACTAAACAATGATTGTACATTCATGGGGCTGATGTATAAACATTCCGTCCAGCGAATAGGTGAGTGAATGCCATCTAGGCTCCATCTACTGGCATGAAAGCCATGCGAACAGCATTTGCCCAGCCCATTTGTTTTCATTCAGCCAGGACCTGAGAAGACCCATTTGACAGGTGTCGGCTGTATGTAAACAGTTAGGCGGAGCTAGTGGTGATGTCGAAATTAAGTTTTAGGAATGCTAAATTAAGTTTTGCTTGCTTAGGAGGACATTACATCAGAATACAGTATTATACAGCATACAGAGAGAACTTCCTGTAGATATTATAGGTAAACATGCATAAGCATAGAGACTAACATTGTACTACAGCACCATCTACAGCTCAAAAGCCATAATTACACAAGTAATACAATCATATACAGTATATGCTGTTGCGTTTCTAATTCTTATGTGGATGATGTGGTTGTCTCCCACTAGCAGACTTATAATTGCTTTTCCTTGCCCGTTCTTCTTGTCCCATTCCTCTGCAGGTCCATTACTGGGTCTGTCTGTATTCAGTACTTGCCACAAGTTGTCTTTGCTTAGCAGCATTTCAAGCTTGAACATCCATAGAGGATAGTTGGTATTGTTTAGGGCTGCAGCTAACGATTATTTTCATAATCGATTAGTTAGCCGATTATTAAGTTCGATTAATCGACTAATCGGATAAAAAAAAAAAAGGCTCCAGTGGATGGACTACTAGTTTCTTTGAGATTGTAGTCCATCACGGGAGCAAGCTTGGCGCGGTGGAAGTATGGTGTGGAGTGGTGTGCAATATAGTACATTATACAGCGGCACAGTGCAGAATACCAGCAGCTATAGAGGAATGTAGCAATAGTACATTATACTATAATGTACTATTGCTGTGATTTGTAGTCCTCTGTTGCTGGGGTTATTCTGCATTTTCTGTGTGTTTCCTGTTAAAAAAAAAAAAACACACAGGAAACATTACAAAGCTCCCGGCCGATCTCGACTTACCTTGAATGACGGTGTTGTCGGCGGGCAGCGGCGTTGTTCGTTGTCGGCAGGCAACGGCGAGTCGGGAAGCTCACCGGGAGGAGAGGGCCAGACGCATGTCCTCAGCGTGGCGTAAGCGGCGTCGCGTGAGCGGGTATACCAGCATAGGCGCGAGCGGCTTAACTGACGTGGGCGTGGCGTAAGCGGCGGACGTAAGTAGCGGGCGTGAGCGGCGAGCGGGAAATTTGAGATGTGTTTATAGCTCATCTTTGTTGCCTACGTTCTCAGGTTTAAGAAAGTTCGGGCCAGCCTATATTCATGTGTTTGGTGGGATCATGCCTGTACCTCCTACCAGCATCTAATATGTATGGCCAGCTTAGTATCCTTAGATGTCAATTAGATTCTTTCTTAGTCTTTAGTATTGCTCTGAGAGAATGTAAGGATTTTTTTTTCCATAGGTTATACTCCTTCAGTCAATTTGATAAATGAGACCCAGTATTGTTTCTGTATGGGCTGTAATGTTATATAGAGGATATTTCAAGTAATGACTGTGCTTGTGTCAGTACAGTGTGGGCAGTGGTGAAAGGCCTCGTGCAGAAGGAAGGTCCCTTTGGCTTCTATCAAGGTCTGGTCAGCACGATATGCAGAGAAATGCCTGGGTACTTCTGCTTCTTCGGTGGATATGAGCTCAGCAGGTCATTTTTTGCTTCAAATGGAAAATCAAAAGATGAGCTTGGTAAGTAAGGGATTAAACAGCTGGCATTGATGGTCAGACTTTCATCTTAAACTCTGTTTTACTGTAGTCTTAAAGTGCAATTTAATGCAATTTTATTAAAAAGTTAAGTTCACTTACTGTATGTATTCCTTCTAAATCATGAAGTATTTTTTCAAGTCAGCCAGCATATTAGAAGTATGTCTATAAACTGACTTGCCACTAAACAGCTTAATGCTGTAATCAGTTAAAACTCTAAAACTGGCCATATGGGGGCAGTAGTAGGAAGAATAGAATTGTATCTTTCATTTCTAATCCAGCATAGTATAGGGATGCATGGATAACAAGAATAGGTCATAGGTGTGCGCACAGGGTGTGTCGGGTGTGTCTGGGTACACCCTAATTACCCCGAGTGTAACATCAAAAAACGCAACAGCGGGCACTGTGTATTTAGTCACTGAGCTGGTGGAGAGATCACAAAGATACCTGTGACTGGCTCAGCGATACAGAGTGCAGTAGCAGTTGCCACTTACATTCCTCACATAACAGCCGCAGTCCTCAGTGCCTGGGAAGCTGCAAGAGAGCGTGACTGCGGCTTCCTACCCAATCAGGAAACCGGGCAGGTGGTCACCTGCCAGGCTCCCTGCTTTATTACTGCACCCCTGCTGGAAGAGGTAAGGGACAGTTGAAGAGATGGGAATCCAGGTTGCCTCAGGTCTGTGTATTTATGTTGTGTTACTTGTGTACTTTATATTTTTGTATGTATTTTATAATGCATATGCGTGTGTGTTTGTATATTTTCGTGCACACCCTAATGCAATAGGCTGCGCATGTCTATGGACCAGGTACATCACTTTTTGCACTATATATGTGTGTTCACCACTATATTTAGCTAGTTGAAAAGAGCTAATGTTTAAAACTAGGACTGCAGAATGATAACTGAACAAGCAGATTTCTGTCACAAAGTAAAAGCTTCAGTCCAAGACAAAACCCAATGGCAAGGTCATTGAAAAGCAAGAGTTCTCACTAAATGGCAAGATTCAAAGCCACCCAGCAAATAGCAGGTAGTAATTCCAATAAATAATCTGAATCATAGACAGACAATACAGCACTGCACTACTGGATGAATACCAACAGGGTTATTCACAAAAGGGTGAAGAGTTTGGAGAAGGCAGGAGTGAACTATCTAGGCCAAAATAGCTGATTTGGAAAATATTTCCAATTCAGCTAATTTTCCAGTTTAGATATGTTGTCCTAGATTGCTCACTTCTCCTGTCTTCTCCAAACTCTTCACCCTTTTGTAAATAACCCTGCAAGTGTCAGCTATGGACATTAAAGAACCAGTCTGTATAAATGTGGTATTGAAGTTGTAGGCATTTGGTTACCCAAAATGTATAACAGTCACCTACTATAATTAAATTGGAACTTTATCCTAGAATTACACAATGAACCTTAAATCTAAACAGCATTTATCAAGGTACATGTTATATGGCTGTTTAATGTTCATTGAGTAATTTCAGGGTGAACTTCCACTTTAAGGCCTTGTTCACATGAACGGCAGATTTACACACACCTCTGAAAGCGATCTGTGGTGGATTACTTTTCAGAAGCGGTTTGGAACTGATTCAGAGCCGATTCACAGTAGTTCAGGAGGCAATACTGCCTGTTCTTTCTTTCGATCAAAATGCAACGCCATAGTTGCATGCATTTGGCACTTGGTTGCGACATGGTGCTATTGACTTCAATGGATGAGTTTGGTAGGCTTTAAAAATTGTGCCGCAAACCGTAGCGGCCATGACCATGCATACCAGCTCGAGTGTCCACCACATAAAATTGTAGGTAGGCTGTCAGGGGGTGGTAAAAACACAGATCATTAGCCTGTTTTTACCACCACTTTCCTGCTTCTGCGACCAAGGTCTAAGTCTTATAGTCTGGCAATGACATTAAAGAGCAACATTACTGAAAAATTACATCTCACATAGCCAATCAAACCTGTACTTAATTTGAACCTGAGAAATTAAAAGATAGAAGTTTCCTTTGTACATGATTAGATGATTGGAATGAAGACAGCTTCGCTGAGCTGGGTAAAATGTACTACTTTAGTAAATCAGCCTGTAAAGAAGAAACATCTCTTGTAGCTTATTGGTATAAAATATGAGTGGCGCTCTGTGTCTAATGCCACATAGATTCCACCAGCTGCATTCAAAGGCTACAGTCTTAGAATTATTGCCTAAGAGAATTCTTCCCCTTTGGATGTTGCTGGTAGGCGAGTGCATTTTAGGGGCCAGCTTACAGTATAGAACATCAAAACGGAAAATTGTATCATACTTACCAGTAATTTTTCTTTCCTGGTGCCTATCCATGGCAGCATACCATTGATAAGGCTCTGCCCCTTATCCCCGCCCACAGGACCAGTGTAAACCTATAAAAGAGAGAGAGAGAGAGAGAGAGATCCCCCTGCATTCTTATAACTATATCACATTCAGAACGGGAGGGTAGCTATGCTGCCATGGATAGGCACCTGGAAAGGAAAATTACAGGTAAGTATGATACAATTTTCTGTTTTCCTGGTGCCTCCATGGCAGCATACCATTGATAAATAACAGGTGGGTTACTGCAAAATTCCTCTGCCAATGAATCAAAGAAGCCTGGATGGCGTGTCTGCAAAGTCCACTGTAGTCAGGAGCCCTGGGGCGATCCCGTAGTGTCTAATAAAGGTGCGCTGTGAGGCAGATCACCATAACAAACCAGGAAGAGACAGTCCCGGAACTCACCCTTTCCCCTGAACCTGCCCCCGGGAAGCAGGAACAGGTGCTCCAATGACCTGAAGGAGTCCGTTAGATCCAGAAAGCAGCGCAGAGTCTTGGCCACATCCAGGCCATGCAGCTCCGATCCATGCGGATGGCTTTTGAAGGATGGCGGGACCCTTCCACGTGCCAAATGAAAAGGCGACACTACTTTCGGTAGAAAGCGAGGAAGAGGAAAAAAGACAACTTACCCTTGATGTTGGTCCCCTACCGTGAAGTGGTTGGCAGGTCTTGCGCAAGCGGTGAACGGTCCACAGCACAGGAGGTAACAATACACACCCTGGCATGCCCCAGCTTCTTCCTTATAACAGGGCTGCAATCTCCCCAGCCTCCGCCTCCCAGCCCCCTCCCACCGCACACGAATCGGCCAGTCGAAATGGCGCCCGATCACCAGTCAAAACTGCGCTTGCGCGAACGAAACGACGTTGCATGCGATGACGTTAGCGACCCAGCCGGTAAAAATCTCAGAGAGAGCGCCGCTGCGCCTAAGAAGCCACCACGGAGGCAGGGAGGAAGTGCAAGACTGTTAAAAGGGGCAAGAAACTGAGACAGAAGAGGGGAAAGACTGCAGAAGGGAAACGGAGAGAAGCAAAAGGCAAAAAGACAGGAGAGGGGTATGACTGCAGAAGGGAAGGGGAGAGAAACAAAAGGCAAAAAGACAGGAGAGGGGTATGACTGCAGAAGGGAAGGAGAGAGAAACAAAAGGCAAAGCGTTCACCAAAATAGCCATCTATGAACCCAATTAGGACATATGGGATGGGAAAGAGAGAGAGACCCCAAGACCGCCAGAAGGGGCTCCCAGACCTAAATGACGCATTGAGCAGTCGAGGTACTGGGACCGCACCTGGGAGAGGCATGAACCCAGGCGGAACTGCGTTGATTTACAACACAAAGGTAGGGACGACATGCCACTGGTGCAGGTCAAGAGATGTGAGGACAAAAAAAATGCAGGGGGATCTCTCTCTCTCTCTCTTTTATAGGTTTACACTGGTCCTGTGGGCGGGGATAAGGGGCGGAGCCATATCAATGGTATGCTGTCATGGATAGGCACCAGGAAAAGAATATACCCTGACCAAGTTTAATACATGTACCAGCACAGAAATAATTTAATGACATTGTGACTTTGAATTCCAGGTCCAGTAGCATTGATGATAAGCGGTGGGTTTGGAGGAACTGCCCTGTGGCTTGCTGTGTATCCTCTGGACTGTATCAAGTCCAGGATCCAGGTCCTCTCCATCACAGGCAAACAAGCTGGCTTTTTGGGAACATGTTCAAGTATTGTGAGAAATGAAGGTAGGTCTGCTTATCAAAACATAAAATGCAGTGTTCCCAGCTGGATGAATGTGTGCTAAAGTCAGTTCGATGTTCTGAAATGAGGTACATTTCATCACCTTGTGATTACTGAATATGCTGTGCTATACAGTTCACTTGTAGTTGTATATGCAACCTTACACATGCTTTGGGATATAGTAGGGAAAGGTTAGAACCCCAGTCTGGTTATAATTGTTGTCTGTGTCCCTTTTAGGAGCTTTCCCATTACTTCCTGTTCTATGTGACACTTGTCAGCTGGACAGGAAGTGAAGGGAAATTTCCTCAATGAGGCCCAGTTGGGAATATTCTCCCTCACTTCCTGTTCTGTCTTCCACCTTGCAAATAGGCAGGAATACAGAAAACAGTAACGCTATGACAGAGGTAATATCACTATCCAAAAACTAGTTCTAGTAAAATTGTAAATATAGGTAGGTGTGCTTGGTTAAGGATGATTTAATTTCTTCTGGACTGAGGCACCAATAAATAGTAACACGCACCTACAGACCTCGATTAACAACCCATGGAAAACTGTAGAACCCAAAAAGCATCATTGTATTTTATGGTTGGGTAGCAAACTACTGCAAATGAAAATGAATGGAAATGTTTTCAATTTTTTTAAGTCTACCCTTTCCTTTCTTATTTACTCAATCATCTGTTAAATTGTTTTCAGCCAATATTAAAAGTGGGGATGCACCGATATTTTTTTTGTGGTACTCAGCGATACCAAATACCGATACCAGCATCCCAGGGTACTGTTTGCCCGGCTTATCAGGAATCCGGGTGGCGGGGACACTGGTTGCTAGGGAGCCTGGCTTCCTGATCATAACCCGCCGCCCGGGTTCCTGATTGGCCGGAAAGCCTACTCTATGCTCCTTCGTGGCACTGCCGGTCAGAGGGCATCTCCCTCTGACCGGAAGTTCCGGTATCGGGCTCAGCATTTGGGCGAGTACAAATACTTGGTATCGGCACCAATACGAGTATCGGTATCGGTGCATTCCTAACAAAAGAGAACTATGGCCCAACCTTTTTTGGCCATAGTTTTCTTTAGGATCACAGGAGGACATATACTATGTCTACTATGTCCTCCTTTGACCCAAAATTCAGCATATTTTGTTGGGATCCAACCCGCTGCCTGATTGACAGCCGGCTCTGCCTCTCTAGAGCCAGAACCAGCTGTGCCCGCCACCACCCGTCCCTCTAGGCAGTGCTGGAGAAACAGAGAGAGGGGAGGGGGAAATTCCTGCATGGAGCCGTGACTCACAGGCATTGCTCTTTGCGGGGAGAAGATCGGGAACTCATCGATCAGCAGTATGTGAGTGTATTTCACTCTCCCCATAATTCTCCTGTAATGAATAACTTTAGTCATTTATATTAAAGTATTGTGAAATTTACTTATACGTTCCTTTCAAAGTCATCAAATCATTTTTCTACTCTTTGAGTATAGTTTACTGAACTCTTAGTATTTAAAGTAACATTAAACTCTGGAGACCATAAAATACATTTAAGTACCTAAGCTATTAACAAAAATGTATCTTATTTGTGTATCACTCAGCTGTAGATCCTCAAATCATCTCTGAATTGGTGCTGACACTGTCCTTCCTTCTGGAGGGTGGCTACCTTTGTTCCCGATGGCCCCTGTGTGTGTTGTATAGAAGCCACCGCTCCAAGCTCACTCCTGTGATGGACTACAATCTCAATACAAATTAGTAAACTAAACATGAGATTGTAGTCCATCACAGGAGTGAACTTGGAGTGGTGGCTACTTTACAACACACACAGGGACCATGAGGAACTTGAATGTACAAATAATTTAAATTTTTGTTAATAGTTAGGGTATTTGAATGCATTTTTGAGATTTAACTCTTTAGTTTAATGTCAGATTAATTACCACAAACCAACTGAAAGTTGTCACCAGTCTTCCAGTGATTTGTAAGCCAATTGGTATGTGGAGAAAGTGCTTGAGAGAGCTTACAGGAAGAAAAGAGTGTGTAATACCAGTGTGGTGGTGTTTACTAGCAGTCTAAAGTGCAGGTGGAGGGCAAGACATGGGGGCTGATTTACTAAAGGCAAGTAGGCTGCTCACTTTGCAAGGGAATTTTCCCTTAGCTTGGTGAATGTGAACATCCATTTTTCAAAGAATACCCAATCACATGCAAAGGAAAAAAAAAAGGACAGTTTTTTTTCCTTGCACATGATGAAAGTCAGCAGAGCTTCACCTCATTTACTAATCTACTAATCAAAGTGCCTGCTTCCCATCTGTAAAATTGCGGGGTCTAAAAATGTATGTTACTCAGCTTAGGCTATACAACAATATCACACACCAGGTTGGATCACGTGTCTGTTTATTAATGTTTTGTAAGTAAACAAGTCAGGGGCGTAACTAGAAATCACAGCAAAATCCATAGCAAAATTTTGTATGGGGCCCCGTGATTGCTAGTCATGCCACTTGCAGAGCCCCAGCGGAGAGTGACCCTGCAGAGCCCACCATAGACTCTCTATAGTGGGCTCTGCAGGGTCTGAGATCTCTTACCTGTCAGCGCCTCTGTGGTCCCCGGGCCCCGACTCCTGTTCCGTCCCCGGGCCACGCCTCCTCTGCTATCGACGGGCCCCGCCTTCTCTTACATCACTGGTCCCACCTGCTCTTAGGTTGCTGGCCAGTGATGTAAGAGGAGATAGGCCCTGCCTCCTCCATTCCGAACACCGCCCTCATCTGCCGCAGCAGCTGGCTGTCACTGACACAGCTCCGCAGCGGCTATGAGGTGAAATGCGCCGTGGCCGCTGCTGGGCTGTGTCTGTGACAGCCAGCACCCCCACATGCCATAGCGACCCAGGCGGCCCCGGCCTCCTGGGTCGCTATGGCGATTGCTACGCCACTGAAACAAGTCCTATATACCTAGTAGTAGTTAGTCACCCACAGCTAGACTCATTCTATAATGTTGAAGATGTTTTGTAGCTTCTCCAAGTCACAGTTCCAATGAGTGTCAGGAGAAAAGCCCCAGCATTAAAATCCACACAGGTACCACAGACCCTAATGCAATCACCATGGAATGTGTAGATGCCGATTATCCAATAACAGGATGGGACTAACAACATCTACAGATTCCATTGGGATTTGATTAAGGTGATATGCTCCCTGTGTGGACTTAAATGTTGGGATATCTTCCTGACAGTCATCAGAACTGAAGAAAACATCTTCAGTATTACAGAACAAGTCTAATTAAATGTGACCAACTACCATTAGCTATACCGTGACCTGGATAAATGAGAACCTTCACAGACAGGTCCTATACACACTATCACATTTGTATTTAGCTGTTTGGTAGGAGTTCATCTTTAAACATAATTAGTAGTGATTTGCCAAATATGCTTTCTGTTGCAGGAATCTCAGCATTGTATTCTGGACTGAAGCCTACACTGATCCGTGCTTTTCCAGCCAATGGTATCCTCTTCCTAACCTATGAGTACAGCAGGAAATTGATGATGCAGCATGCAGGGACCTATTGATCTTTAGCTCATATTGCTTGTGAGAATACGCAGCATCTCTCGGTTAAAGTGACATTAAACCCTCAGATTTTTTAACATAAACCAATACTATAATGTGTGCCTTACTGTAATCCATGGTAGTTTCCCTTCTCTTTGCTGCTCTTCCTTTTAAATCCTCATGTCTTCTCATGCTTGGGGAGAACTTCCCTTTTCAGCTCAGGGCCTCTTCCTGTAGTGCTGGCTCAGGTTACAAGCCTATACAAACGTATACACAGACACCGTGTATCCATTCCTGAGACAAGGCAGTCTGCTGCAAAACAGAAGTTCTGCAGAGCATGAGAACAGTGAGAACTACCATGGATTACAGTAAGGCACACATTACAGTATTGCTTTATGTTATGAAATCTGGAGGGTTTAATGTCACTTTAAGTGGCAATACTAAACACTACAAAATTGTGACATCACTTGTGTGAGAGCTGACATGTGGATGTTGGATGTATGCTTATGTCTGATGTAAGCTTGTAGTCCTTACTCCAGCTTCCAATAGACTTATCACAATGTCCCAGAGATCAGAGAGGTATTACTGTCTCATGTTGGTTGTACCAATGAAGATCTTGCATCTGGTAGGAAACAATCTTCAGTATTTGTCCAATTACCAAGCCCCATGTAAGGATAACAAGAAGTTCCTTGCAAAAAGACAGAAAGCTACATTCTGTATTCTGTTAAAGAACTAGTGTCAGCACCTTGTGCAAATATACCATTCCAAATGCTTTTAACCATTTCAGGTTTTAAGGCAAAATATAATTTCCATTGTATCCGAAGCTTTTTTTGATCAGTGCCCCTGCTGTTTTCTGTGACCTTCAATGCTTCAGATGCTACCACTCCTTTGTGCACCTTGTGGCACGTCCACCCTCTGGGCACTTTGACTTTAGTACCTGAAGGGGGTGGCTGAGGGTACAGGAGATAGGCTGAGATGTTTTATTGTGCCATCCCTAGGGGGTGGTGCCAGAGACATATTTTCCTCCTCTCCTTATCTCATCTCAGGAATGGCTTTACATACTTGTTTGTAAGGATTACAATTAGATAGACTCTCGGAATATTGGTCACAAAACTGGCCAGCAGATTTTAAAGCTTTGGAACACATAAAGAGCCTCATCAGCAATGTTTGCATCTTCATCTGATCATTTGAATGTCCACCAGTGTGTTTAGTTAGCAGATGCTGTCCATGCAAAGGGCCGATTTACAGATAGAATTGGAAGCCAACCGTCATTTAAAAAAGCGAACATGAAGTATGCATTTTACTGTCTGCATAAGAATATAGAGCCCAAACGTTTTTCATTTAGGATAAGGCATTTTTTCAAAACATTTTTTCCCTTCTGTGTCCCATCAGGAAATGTTTCTATATTTCTTGTCCTGTAGACAGTCAGAAAAAATCTCCCCAAAGTGAGGAAAATCATCATTGGAACAAGTGTGCCCATTGGAAGATTTCCTTTCTATTCTTGTTCTGGTGACTCAAATCTCAAAATTTTGGATTTTTCCTTACTTTCAGTTCCTGTAACACTAGCCATAGGGACACACTGAGGGTGAACCTCTCTAGCGGGGACTCAAACAGGAATAAAAACCTGACAAAGGATCTAACCAGTGACGTCACAAGAGGGGTGCGGGGGTACGGCCCGCATCCGGGTGACACCATTGGAGGGGTGAGACCAAAATGACTGACAGTCATTTTGGTCTCACCCCCTCTAAAAAGTTGGGCACTCGGTCATGGACCGAGAGCCAGACAGTGTCAGGAGAGAGGATAGGACTCGGCGGCATACCTCATCCCTTCAGGTGAGCGTCCCCTCCTCTCTCTGCTGGCATCCATCACCAAGATGGCCGTCGGCAGGTGTCAATTAGATGACCATGCATGCGCAATGACGTCATAGCGCACGTGCGTGGTGATGTCACGCACATGCGCGATGACGTCACGGCAGGGTGTCACGCGCTCTCCGCTCCGGGTGACATCCGGCCTCGGGACGCCCCTGGATCTAACCCCCCCCATCTTTCTTTCCAAAACAAAACATAGAAGCTTTGGCTTTAGATACATGGCTGTTTGACTATACAATGTATATTATGTGGGACATGAACCCTGTTATTGATCATTCCTTATAAAGGTATTCACATAACACTCCAAATTTCTTAGCAGTGGTGTCCAAAAAATGTATTGCTTTCGGTTTCTTCAATTTGCTTCTTGCTCTTTGCCTTATTAAATAAGCCCTATAGTCTAAGCAGGGGTAGGCAAGCTCTGGCCCTCTAGCTGTAGTGCAACTACAATTATTATTAGGCAATGCAAGACACTGACAGCCACAGACAGACTCGAAAAGGCAGCTGCATGATAAGATTTGTAGTTTCACCACAGCTGGAGGGCCAGAGTTTGCCAATCCATGGTCTACAGAGTCAAAAAAATGGCTTTATTACCTATTTGATATGCATTGCTTTTATTTTAATTTCTGGGCTTTATGGTATACTTGCTATATAATTCCACACCATGAAATATAGATTCATAAAAATGCTTTAAAGCTAGAATAGCACTCCACAAATATTTAGTACTGAAG